ATCAAATTTTAATATGAATTTGGATAATAATCTTCCTACTAACTCAGCCTTGATTGGCTATTCCTCTATATAGTACTGTATCATAATTTAATTGGGAATTTGTGTATATTCTAATTCGTCCTTCATAAAATAAGTAGCATAATTCAGAGCCTCAGTAATCCCCAATTATGTTGAGACGTGGAAGAACATCACGACTCTCCCCCAGATTATGAAACACCTTGACGACTCTTGTGTGTTCTGACTGCTGGTTTAAAGCGGAAAATTACCCACAATACTTCCTCATCGTCAGTCTCTTGCATCGTTGGTTAATTCACATTTTTATACAGTAACAAAAACAAAAGACGTGATAAAAAAAAAGTTACATACCTGCGTGTGTTTGTATATGTAAGAATTATGCAGTTTTGATGTGGTTGAGAAGGTCTTTTGCACGACAGATTAAATGTAAGATCTTTTGTTTTTTTTTCTTGAGACGCACCGGAATATTAAAGTCATGACATAGTTTACGGTGTTTTTTTTCCATGAGTCACATTTTAAAGAATTTCAGTCGCATTGCAAGATTCGCTTATTAACTTTCCTTGGAGGTTACATAGTTCGCGTGATTGTACTTCCTACCACTCCCCTCTCCCCTTACTTCCCACTATCCACTCTCCTTACCTCCCTACCCCCCAACACACACACACACACAGTACAGACAGTTCAACTCTCCAGGGTACAAACTTAATCCTCTTAGACCATGTATTTGGAACTTATAGTCAATCCTTTTCGACCTTGTGCTTGTAACCTTTGTCAGTGCCTTATGCTTCGTGTTTACTACTACTACTACCACCGTCTGTCCTCTCTGATCTTGTGCTTGTAACTCTCACTTCCAATCCTCTTAGTCTCGCCCGTCTGTGTTTGCTCCTTCCAGTATTCACCTTTGATCAGATACCTGCATTTTTATTTTCATTCTTGGACGTTGTGCTTCCAAGCTTTGTCAATCCTCTTATATAGCCTTTGTGTTCGTAACCCCTCATCTCTTATTTCTCTTACTCTTTATTGATCAATCTAAATCTTTACAAATTTATTCTACATTGAAGATTCACTTGGTTTATCTTTCGTTTTTTTTTTTTAGGTTTTTAACTCTTTGATTACGATTTAACCCCTTGTTTACGAGGTCTTAACCCCTTGAGTACTATGTATTAACCCCTTGAGTACGATGTCTTAACCCATTGTTTACGATGTCTTAACCCCTTGAATACGATGTCTTAACCCCTTGAATAAGATATCTTAACCCCTTGAGTACGATGCATTTACCCCTTGATTACGTTCGTCCTCAAAGGGTAAAAAAAAATATTCTCATCTGTATTTTTCTTTATTGTTACTTCTACAATACAAAAGTCTTACACTCCAGACGGTCAACAGTACACCATATCTCTCTCAGCTATCCATGGCAGTCTTCTCCTCTCACAGTCTTCCACATATCACCACTCCAGACCTTAGAGAGACACCATCCCTCCAGTATCTGTCTTTCAGTACCTTCATTATTCTAGTCTTGACCTCTCTATACTTCGCCTTCTAGCCCCTCAGCCCATTCAGCCCCCTTCAGCCCCCTCAGCCCCTCTTAAGACACGATTCCTGTAACCTTCGCCTTCCAAGACCTCTATTTTCCACCCATTATGCATGCGCATGTTGGCCGCGGTATATAATAATACTATGGAACCGTATTCTGGTAACTAGAACCCCCCCCCCCACTATCATCTTCAGGAGGTTGGTGTCACTAGAGCACCACCCTCACCTTCAGGAGGATGGTGTCATTCAGGAGGATGGTGTCACTAGAACACCCCACCTTCAGGAGGATGGTGTCACAGAGCACCTCCCACCTTCAGGAGGTTGGTGTCACCAGAGCACCACCCCACCTTCAGGAGGATGGTGTCACTAGAGCACCCCCCACCTTCAGGAGGATGGTGTCAACAGACACCCCACCTTCAGGAGGATGGTGTCACCAGAGCACCCCCACCTTCAGGAGGATGGTGGTCACTAGAGCACCCCCACCTTCAGGAGGATGGTGTCACTAGAGCACCCCCACCTTCAGGAGGATGGTGTCACTAGAGCACCCCCACCTTCCAGGAGGATGGTGTCACTGAGCCCCCCACCTTCAGGAGGATGGTGTCACTAGGAGGATGGTGTCACTAGAGCACCCCACCTTCACACTTTCAGGAGGATGGTGTCACACCCCCACCTTCAGGAGGATGGTGTCACTAGAGCACCCCCACCTTCAGGAGGATGGTGTCACTAGAGCACCCCCACCTTCAGGAGGATGGTGTCAATAGAGCACCCCCACCTTCAGGAGGATGGTGTCACTAGTTCAGGAGGATGGTGTCACACCCCCACCTTCAGGAGGACCACCCCCACCTTCAGGAGGATGGTGTCACTAGAGCACACCTTCAGGAGGATGGTGTCACTAGAGCACCCCCCCACCTTCAGGAGGATGGTGTCACTAGAGCACCCCCCACCTTCAGGAGGATGGTGTCACTAGAGCACCCCCCACCTTCAGGAGGATGGAGCACCTCCACCTTCAGGTGGTGTCACTAGAGCACCCCCCACCTTCAGGAGGATGGTGTCACTAGAGCACCCCACCTTCAGGAGGATGGTGTCACTAGAGCACCCCCCACCTTCAGGAGGATGGTGTCACTAGAGCACCCCCACCTTCAGGAGGTGGTGTCACCACCCCCCCACCTTCAGGAGGATGGTGTCACTAGAGCACCCCCCACCTTCAGGAGGATGGTGTCACTAGAGCACCCCCCACCTTCAGGAGGATGGTGTCACTAGAGCACACCTTCAGGAGGATGGTGTCACTAGAGCCCACCTTCAGGAGGATGGTGTCACTAGAGCACCCCCACCACCTTCAGGATGGTGTCACCACCACCTTCAGGAGGATGGTGTCACTAGATTTCATAAAGCTCGGGTGGTGCGTCCTCGCTGCCTCAAGTGTAATGAGATGCATACCTTGACCTTCCCGTGTCCCTGAACCTGACTCCTGCCTTCGTCACCACCACCACCACCAGCAGGACTTCCACCACCGCCAGCACCTCCACCTGCACCTCCACCACCGCCTGCACCTCCACCACTGCCAGCTCCTCCACCACTGCCAGCACCTCCACCAATGCCAGCACCTCCACCACTATCACCATCAGTTACCAACATACATACTGCCACCACTATCACCACCCGTCAAAAACACCATAACTGCCACCACAACTATACACCATCACCACCACCGTTGTCATAACCCAAGTACTTGCCTCTGAAAAACAGCTGGAGTATCCCACGCTCACCGCTCTCCTCCATCACTCCCCTCCACCACTCCCCTCCATCACTCCCCTCCATCGCTCTCCTCCATCGCTCCCCTCCATCGCTCCCCTCCATCACTCCCCTCCACCACTCTCCACCACTCTCCACCACTCCCCTCCACTACTCCCCTCCACCACTCCCCTCCACCACTCCCCTCCATCACTCCATAGTACTGTAGTCATTGTGTATAATTCAAGTCTTTGTTGTTTTTGTTTTACCGTATAAATAATTAAAACCACAAGACCCATTAATCAAACGATCAGTACAGACATTCAATCAGACAGTTATTAATGCAGGTTTGAGTTGTTGTTGTTGTGTACAGTGTTGTTGTTATTATTAATGTTATGTATTTAATGCAACATATTACAGGCGCCTCACTCCATCAATGTGACAATGTGTTGACACCGTGTTGCTCTTATATACAGGTTAGGTTAGGTTAAAGGTTAGGTTAGGTTAGGTTAGGTTAGGTTAGGTTAAAGGAACATCTAGATTCACTCACTAATCTATCCTAATACAACAGACTTCATTAATCAAACTCAATTTGAATCACTATTAAACACCACCTTGTTACCTGCCTCCGTGACCTCCTTCCTTTAATCACCACAGTTTTGGGTCATTTCCTCCTCATGATACTTGTTCACTTTTAATACTTTTCTGAAATCTAATTAAGTTTCCCTGACCTACTTGTGAGGACATATACGCCACTTTAACTTGTAAGTCCAAATTTGGTTATGCACTTACGTCACTTGTAACACTTAGGAGCTCTTTATCTTATTAACTGACTCATCTGAATATTAGACACTTCAGCTTACGTTACCTGATTATTAAACACCTTAACGCTACCTGGGAGATTGGGTTAGCTTAAGTTTGCGTTAAGGTGGTTAATCTGGGGAGGTTAGCTTAGGTTTATAAAGAAATTAGACTGTTTCCACTACTACCATCTGGAAGTTGTCTCTTTTACTAACAGAATAACACAGAATATTACCAGACTAACTCAGGTAAGTTTGAAAAGGAAAGATAACCTCTTTCCGCAGTATGTACTCGACTTTATGAGAAAATTGATAGCTGGTATGAGTAGGGAAGGCAAAAAAGCTCGACAGTAATTAAATTCAGAAACTTTAAAGATCAGTTTGTTCAAGAGGTTTTTCATCATCTTCTCAAGAGGTATATTAGTCAGGCAAATTGCTTAAGTTTGACGGGATGGCGGCAGCGGCGGCGTCACCTCAGTATAAGAAACTTCGCTGGTACCTCGCAGTGGAAGGAGGGCGCTCTTGGTGAAACTCTACGGATATGTTTTGCCACGTTTCACTTATTATGCGCTCCGGACAGTGAAATTGGCAGTGCAACTACTAATGTCATTCTTATGTCTCTGTAGACTTTCAATTTCCTATTTTTATTTTATATTCATTTCCAAATTGAATTATATTTTTATTGTTATAACAAAAAACAGATTTGTCTATGATTTTCCCTTTGAAGTCTAAATTTTCTAAGTCCCCCCACCCCATCCTCAGTACTAGTGTTTACGTTTTCTATAATTTCAATCTTACGGAGCTCTAATTCTGTCGAGTTTTTACGCTCTCGTCTTCCAGGTTCTGCACCATCCTCCCCTTCAGGTTTTGCACCGTCTTCCCCTTCAGGTTCTAATGAGGTATTTTGTTCTCGTCCTTCAGGTTCTGCACCATCTTCGTCTGTCTAGTGCTGAGTGTGCTGCTGACGATGCAAGACTACGAGGAACAGGCCACCACCATCCTCTTCTACATAGAGTCCTTCGTCGTTGTCTGGTTCACTATAGAGTATGTGCTGAGGTAAGGTTCCTGCCCTCTGGTTTCTTGTTATAACCTGGTGTGTGTGTGTGACTTTTGTTTTCACTGAATGTTGTAAATAACGTTACCTCTTAGTGCCTTTTAGGGGATATATTGTAAGTTTATTATATATATTACAACAAGACAGACACAGAGAGACCGAATGAAAGAACGACCGACCGACCGACCGACCGACCGACCGACTAGCGACCGACCGACCTACCCACCCACCTTAATGTCACCAATACCATCATAATTGAGTGTTCCAAAACTATATAATATGAACAGCAAAAGTATATTGATATCGCTTTAAATTCCAGAGTTACAGTAAAAATTCTAACATCGTCACGCTTTAAGTATATTTTCTGGCGCTTTTTGTTGATGGCAAACTGAGTTACCATTCACCAATAAACAACATTTTACTGACTCACTTGGGTCAAAGGTTACGGCCATTATTGAGTAACCAAATAAAGGTTGTCCTGGAATTCCATAACTTTATTTAATTCTTTGGGTAGCTTCTCTTTTGTTCCTCCTTCCTCTTCTCTTCTTTGTTCTTCTCTCCCTCCACTTCTTCTCTTCTTTGTCCCTCCCTCCTCTTGTTCTCTTCTTCATCCCTCCATCCTCTCCTCCCCCCTCCTTCCCTTCTCATAAACTAACGAAAATATCAAACCTGTTACCTCTGAAATAATTTACAGCTTCGAGGTGATAAAGTTCACTTTGCAGGAGATATTAATTCCCATGATTGGCTTTTTGTAAAGAGTCAATTTACTGAACTACCGTTTTTTCCTCCGACTGTTGGCTAACTTATCAAATAAACTTTACCAATAGGGCACTCCAACCTCTTTCTCCCCAGGTGTTGGTTTATTGTACAGGTATGTTGAAATAATTGATGTTTCTGTTGAGGATTTTATGGTAAAGATTCGGAAAAGGACAACCACGGAGCTCCATATTAATTTGTATGTGGGAAGATAGAGCATATAAAATTATAATATATATATATATATATATATATATATATATATATATATATATATATATATATATATATATATATATATATATATATATATATATATATATATATATATATATATATACATACATACATACATACATACAGTGTATATATAATTTTTTTTCCCATATCACCCTCCCATATACAATCACCCTCCTGTCATCCTCTGTTTGTTTTTTGTTTTTTATTGCTTATGTGTTTTTTCCCTTTTTTTTATTCCATATTATAGTGTTTTTTCTGGGTTATTTTGTGGGGTATTTTCTTAGATGTTTCTTGGCAGTATTTGTCTTATTTTGTGTGTTTTGACCAAGTAGTTAGATAGATAGATAACTGGTTGGACGCACGGACAGACAGACAGACAGACAGACAGAGACAGACAGGGCTAGATCGACATAATAATATAATCATTTGCTAATAATACATCTAGAATTAGTCATGTTTACTAAGTCTCGTACACCACTGAGAATATTTTTGTTGTGGTCGGTCATAATGTATGCACACGTTCATTATCCACCAGGACATTTTTGTTTTTACTGTAATATATCAACTTGACGGTCATGATGATATTATTTGAATAGTTCATGTGTGTTATAATTTACTGAACCTATCTTGAACATTTTTTTTTTTTGCGTTTTATCCTTAATTAATTTTAATAAAGTTGAATTTTATTTGTTTGATGTTTATAGTCTGTACAGGTAAAAAATATCCTTGTGTGCGTACCTGTAATAATTAATTAACAATACCTGTAGCTATAGTTTATTTACCTGGTTCTGTATATTTTAGATATTGGAAATAGTTTTAATTAATATTGGAAGTGAGAATCATTCCGAATATATACTGTGAATGGATTAAGTTATATAATAGTGTAATTCTATCAAGGTGGAACTATATTCTTAATTACTACAGGTGAATAGAGACTTCAGGATCACCCTGTAGGTAATCTGAGTCTTAATTGCTTTAATATTCTAACGTACATAAGAAAAAATCTAATGCAGGTGTTATATACATTTCAAGCTTAGATTAATCACCGCCATCCTCATGCATTATGGAATATCAGATCGATTACTTTATTAGCATATATAATATAGGTAACGCGTATATATACATAATATTATATACTAAATAGAACCATAAAGTAAAATCTCTTAATTGGAACAGCATAGTGGTTACCTTTTACACGATACATTATTTGTTTATCAGTGACATTATTTGAAATCTTTATTATTAAAAGTTGAATTAAAAATAAAATAATACCAAGATTTTGTTTTATTTCTACTCTGAAAATATAAGTCATTCAAAATATATAAAACATCAAAAATGATAACTTAACAACAGACTAAAACTACATATGATAAGTAATAAAGACTATGATAATAATAACAAATAATAACACACCAACAAACTGAAATTACAGGACAGAACACATTTACACCTTAATAACACCGGTTGTATCATAATTACTAAATATCTCGATTTGTCTGTCAGTGGAGCTAATAACAGAAATTACTCGGCGCGGGAAAGAGTAGAGTCTGGGCCGCATGATGGATAGTGACAATTAACGCCACCCGGTGTCTTACTTTAGAAGTTATTAAAGGCGGGTGTACACGGCCTGGCGGGGTAGTTTACTGTCCTTAGAAGTTTACTGTCCTTAGAGGTTTACTGTCCGTAGAGGTTTACTGTCCTTAGAGGTTTACTGTCCTTAGAGGTTTACTGTCCTTAGAGGTTTACTGTCCTTGGGAGGTTTACTGTCCTTAGAAGTTTACTGTCCTTGGGAGGTTTACTGTCCTTAGAAGTTTACTGTCCTTAGAAGTTTACTGTCCTTAGAGGTTTACTGTCCTTGAGAGGTTTATTATTATTATTATTATTATTATTATTATTATTATTATTATTATTATTATTATTATTATTATTATTATTATTATTATTATTATTATTATTATTATTATAGAATCTTTACCAAAAAATATTAACCAAAAATGTATTGTTTGCCCCTTTTCTAAAACACTACTAAATAAAACAAATTAAAATAAACCAAAGAATCACTCTCTCTCTCTCTCTCTCTCTCTCTCTCTCTCTCTCTCCCGGTTTAATTTGTTTTATTTATCATTTATAAGAAAATGAATCAATGCAAATTAATTAACAGTTCTCCTTATTGAAACATTCGAGTTAATAATTGAAGAAAATAAAAATAAATCGGTATAACTCGAATTTAAATACGTTCATTCTCTCTAAAAACAATTGATTAACAAAAAATAAGCACACAAATAAGTGAGTTTATTCGCCTCACCTGTTTCCACACCTGACCAACAATTTCTCTGTCATTAAGGTAATTTCTTCACGTGTTTGATGTATTCATCACTCGACCTAAATTCTGTCATTAATATGCAAATGTCACCTTAACCTTCTTTTTTCACACCCACTCCTGTGTTAGGGCCTGAATTATTTATATAGTATCTGTCTGTCTGTCTGTCTGTCTGTCTGTCTGTCTCGAGGTTAATTTTTCGTCTTGTTTTCAAATTCTCCATTCCCTTACCCTCCCATATTCCCCCTTCCTCCTTTCTCATATTCTTCCCTCCCTCCCATCCTTCTTTTCCACTTATCCATTCCCTTACCCTCCCATATTCCCCCTTCCTCCTTTCTCATATTCTTCCTTCCCTCCCATCCTTCTTTCCAGTTATCCATTCTCTTACCCTCCCATATTCTGCCTTCTCTCCCTCTCTCATTCAATCCATCCCTCTGTTACCACTTTCCTTATTCTTACAATTCTCTTCCATTACCTCTTAATCTTACCCTCTTCTTTCCCACCTCTCCCTCTCCCCTCCCCCTCTCTTCTCCCCTTCCTATTTTCTCCCCTCTCCCCTCCTTTATGCTCACAATTTCCTCCCCTCTCCCCTGGTGTGGCAACTCATTTACAAAGTATTCAAATTAGTTCCTTTGACCAAGGCCACGCTCTTGTTCGTCTGTTACTCCCGTTAACAATCGCTTGTGGTAACTGTGGTGTGCGTAGCCTTAGAGGTGGTATTATGGTGCACGGAGACGGTATTGTGGTGCACGGAGACGGTATTGTGGTGCACGGAGACGGTATTGTGGTGCACGGAGACGGTATTGTGGTGCACAGAGGTGGTATTGTGGTGCGCAGATGTGGTATTGTGGTGTACAGAGGAGGTATCAAGGTGCACAATACTGCTTACACTTCCGTTTCTCCTCCTAAATATACTCACGAGTTTCTTTATCAGCATTGAAGACAAAACCAGCTCCCTTACCCCAGCCAAGCTTTCAGTAATACTTGTCGGCATCTATTTACAGCGTGAGAGAGCCTGTGAGAGTAACTACGTCTTGATGAAGGTTTATATGTACCGTTTATCGTGTCCCAACCCCCTTCTGACCCCTTTTAGTTACCTTTTACGACCCTAGAAGGGGATACAGGGGGGGATCTAACCCTTTATGACCCGAAAACTCAAAGGCAATGAAGTTCTTTGTGGTCTTGCCTTACCCCCCCCAACCTTTTTATGGGTTTTGTTTGTAAGATATAATCGTCATGTTGTATGGACGTTTTTCTTTCTCCCATTCCTTTCTCTCTTATCGTAAAAAAAGTATAAACACGAAATTAGATTATATTTTTATCCCCTGACGGAAATTTGTGGCTTTGGTGGTAGTGGGTATTGTTGTCTTGAGGGAGGTGGTTGTACGTCGATGAGTTTTGGTTTATATCTTTCCTATACAAATCGTTTATAGTTATCACTGTAGCACACTATGAGAAGTTATGTTATACTGTAGTTTGGGTATTGGATGGTGATTTAGTGAGTGATTGATACGTGAAAGTTAAAAGGGGTTAAAGTAATCAAGTTAAGGTTGTACTATGTTAATGTTTTGCCTTAGGTCACGAGAGACGAAAATGTGGTAAATATATAGCAGTGTTACCAGGAGAGTTGAACGAGATTATTACAATTATTACTGCAATATTTCTGCTTCAACAGCGATAGTTATG